CAGCTTCTGAGGGGCTGTAAAATACCCTCAGAGGGAGCAGGCTCAGCCCATCTTCCCTGGGAAAGCAGAATTTTACTGCTTCCAAAAATTCACAAATTTGTTTGAAGAGGAAACTTGGGACAACTTCAGGTGGTTGATCTCTCTTGACCAGCATAAATGGCCAGCAGAGAGTTATTTGCCTGCTTGGAGTGTGGCACAGCCCTGTGAGGAGCAGGGTCTGGGGTTTTTCTGGGGTTTGGGGTCTTTGCTGGCAGTGATCTCTGTTTCCCCAGGGTGATTTCCCTCGGGGGGACACGGCTGAGGACGGCTTCCACGGCGCCTCCCCGGTGACAGCCTTCCCTGCCCAGAACAGCTACGGTACACAGCACCCTCACCCTGCTCTGGGGACGGCAGCTGCTCCCTCAATTAGTGCTAATTATCAAATCCTGCAGCTGGGCAGAGTTTAGATGTGTGGGGTCTGGAGTAGAGGGAAAGCATCGATGGTTGGGGCTGGAGTTGGCTGAGATGCACCTGCTGCACTCCAGGCACCAAACCAGCTCCTTTTAATTAAAACTGGGTTGTTTTGCAGCTCAGTGGGGTGTAACAAAAATTCCAAGGACATTTTCTGACTGCCATGTCCTCGTGCACTGTTTGAAATACAGTGAGGAATTTCTTCAGCCTCACCGTTAAACCACGGTCTTGAACAATCCTTTGAACGTTGTTCCCCCTCCCATACACCAAATTTACATTTCTTGTATACCCAATTCTGTTCTAATTCTGACACAAAACCGTCTCAGGGCTCTATGACCTGCTGGGAAACACCTGGGAATGGACAGCATCAGAATTCCCAGCTCCAGGAAGGGCGCCCAGGGCTCAGAAGATGCAGGTGCTGAGAGGGGCCTCGTGGATTGACACTGCAGATGGCTCTGCCAACCACAGAGCTCGTGTCACCACCAGGTACGTCTGGCCCAAGGATTTCCTCTGGGTTGGTTTTATTTTAAAAGATGTTTGTTTGTTCCTACATGATTTTTTTGAGAAGCAGTTGGCAGAGCACACTAGAAATATGGCTAAAACCACTCCTGCTATAAATCCATTCCTAAAGGCTTCTTAAATCATGTTTTCCAGCAGGTATTAATAACTAAATGCTTTTCCCCAAGTTATTCAGGGGAATTGGAAGATGTTTTCAGGCTGTTCTAGCAGGTCACATTAGGGTTGTGAGTGTTGTAACATATTGGGGATATGTGTAATGAGGAAGGATCCCTGATTTTGGGTCTCTCTTTCCCTGTGAGGATGGGGAACACGCCAGACTCTGCCTCTGACAACCTCAGCTTCCGCTGCGCTGCCGACGTCCCTCCTGTGCCAGCCTGGAAAAGCCAGAGCAAAGCTGAGCTCTGAGGGCTCCCTGGGAACACCTGAGGCATTTTCTCCTGTGGAGATGAACAGGAACCCCCAGCTGTCACTTCCATGAAACCCCAATTGTTTCTAAAATTAAAAAATAATTTCAACCTTTTCAGTGCTGGCATGTCTGGGTGGGAGCAGTGATTGGGAAGGCAGGAAGGGGGGGTTGTCTTTAGTGTCCTTCTGGTGTGGGAGATGCTCCAGCTCTCCTGTTGTTGTCCATGTAAAGCAGAGGGGTGCATGTGTGGGGTGGGCCAGAGCTGCTCTGACCTCCAGCCCCAGTGAGGAGACACTCAGAGCCCCCTGTGCCCATCAGGGTGGGGCTGCCAGGGGGAAAGTGATGGGGGCGCATAATCAGTCCCCATTCCCTTGGGAAGTCCCAGCTTTGGAGCAGTGCTGAGCCTTCCCAGAAGCAAAACAAGGCACCTTCACTGGCATTTGACAAAATGCTGTGTGTGACAGATGTGTGTGACAAACCAGTGCCCCACCTCTCCCAGGAGTTATAGCAAGCAGAAACTCTCTGAGCTCTGCACCAAACTGTCCAGGAGCCTTGACCACAAGGGTAGGCAAGAACATTGCTCAGGGATCCCTGATCCACCTCTGTCCCAAAACAGGCACTGCAGGTGCCTGAGGGCTGAGCCTTCCCCATGGGGAGCTGCAGCTGGTTCTGGCTCTGTTAAATGTGGCTTTTCCAAACCATTCCTCCAGTGAGACACACCGCAGGAGCAACTTATTTCCTGGGTTTGTATTTGCATCAGTCGTGAGCCAAGTGAAAAAAAAACTTAAAAACCCCAGAAATCACCATGTTGTTTTCCAAGATTTTACTCGCCTTACAGTGAGCCAAACCAGGGGCTGGGCAGGGATCAGAAAAGCCCCTCCTCGGTGGCCAGGGTGAGCAGGATGGCCTTGCAGGTGTTCTCAAAGAGGGCAGCTCTGTTCTGGGCCTCCCCCTTCTTCACCCAGTGGCGGTAGGTGCGGAAGGCGCAGGCGTCGATGAGCTTGCGGACGGGCTTGAGGGCGTAGGGGTCCCTGACCACCAACTCCCTGGTCACTGACTTCACCTGCCTGTACTGGTAGTAAATCCTCACCGAGGCCAGCACNTGGACAAACACCCGGTGACAAACAGGGACTTCAGGTGAGCTCGGGTGGCTGCGGGGAGGGCAGGGCCAGCTGTGTGCCAGCTGTGTGCCAGCTGTTCCGGGGCTGCTTTCTGGCGTCTGAAAGCAAATACTTGGGTGCTCATTGGAAAAAATGTGTCTGTCAATAGGAAATCAATGTCACAGGTGCAAGCTGAACCATCGTGGTGGTGTAGCTTGCAAACACACTTTTATTTCCTTTTTTTTTGTCCTCTTCCCCCTTCTCTTTCCTCTTTTTTTTCTTCTCTTTTTCATCTCCTGCTCTTCCTTTTTTTCTCCTCCTCCTCTCTTCTTTTTTTCTTCTCCTCCTCCTCCTGTCCTTCTCCTCTCTCTATTCTTTCTCTTCTTCTCTCTCCACTCTTCTTTTTCTCTCTTCTCTTCTCTTCTCTTCTCTTCTCTTCTCTTCTCTTCTCTTCTCTTCTCTTCATCTCCATCTCCATCTCCATCTCCATCTCCATCTCCATCTCCATCTCCATCTCCATCTCCATCTCCATCTCCATCTCTTCTTCTCCATCTCTTCTTCTCCTTTTCCACCAACAGCAGCCACAGCTTTTATTGGCTTTCAAGGGATTTTTTCTCTCCACAATTACAGAAACCTGAGTGCAGGCTGACTTTACCTGCACAGGTGACATAAAAACTAACAAATCTGTGCAAAGATGCTCACTGGACTGTTTTATCTGTTAAATCTAAATTAAACCATCTGGAGCTGGGGGGTCTGTAAGTTTTGTACATTTTGCCTTGCTCTGAACTCGTTGCATGAACAGATTTGTGAGGCAGAGCTTGAAGAACTCTTACCCAGAGCATGTTGTGTTTATGCCAGGGAGTTTGTTAGAGAAAAGAAATACAAAACAGAAGCAGAAGCATTTGGCTGGAGCTTTGTCTTTGAGGATTTCGTATCTGAAGAGCTGAAAAAAAAAGTCACCCAAAAACTGGAGGTAAATGTGAATCCTATGACGAGTTTGGTGTTGCTTTTCCACTGAGGAGCAGCTGCCTCTTTCAGAGCCTGCTGCTCTCAGAGGTTTTTCTTTAATCTGAGGTTGTTTTGCTTTTGAACCTCAGCAGGATTGAGCTGGGGTTGATTTATGTGCTCCTCTATTTCCATGCTCTGTGAGCTGTCAGTCTGGGCTCCAGGGAGCTGGGAGGAAGTAAAGTGGGTTTCAAAGTACTTCAATAATCCAATTTAAATATAGAAAAACTGAACAGCATGAGCCTCTTGATCTGTTTTCACTTTTAAAAGCCTCTGCTCTGTGGGAAAGCAGCATCCAAATGTCTGTGATAACCCAGCTCAAACTGCAGCATTTCCTGACTAACACACCCTGCTGTGGGACAGTGTCACCAGTTCACCTTTAATCCTGGTGTCATTTCTTTCCCCAGTCAGCCCCGTGGTGGCTGCCCATCGAGAAGGCTTTTTGGAGACAGGTGAGTAAAATCCTGGTGTGGTAAAATTCTGGTGTGATAAAATCCTGGTGTGATAAAATCCTGGTGTAGTAAGGTGATTTCCCTTCTGCAGCCCTTTTGTAAAGGTAAAATTCTGGTGTGATAAAATTCTGGTGTGGTAAAATTTTGGTGTAATAAAATCCTGCTGTGGTAAAATCCTAATGTAATAAAATCCTGTGTGGTAAAATCCAGGTGTGGTAAAATCTTAGTGTGATAAAATCCTGGTATGGTAAAATCCTGGTGTAGTAAAATCTGGATGTAGTAAAATCCTGCTGTGGTAAAATCATGGTGTGATAAAATCCTGGTATGAGTAAAATCCTGATGTGATAAAATCCTGGTATGAGTAAAATCCTGTTGTGGTAAAATCCTGATGTGATACAATTCTGGTGTGTTAAAATTCTGGTGTGGTAAAATCTTGGTGTGGTAAAATCCTGGTGTGGTAAAATCCTGATGTGATACAATTCTGGTGTGTTAAAATCCCGGTGTGATAAAATCCTGGTGTGGTGACTCCTCTCCATGCTGGGAGCTCGTGTGTGTTGTGTGTGCT